CCCTGGACTGACCTATCTCCTCCCTAACTCCTCACCTACACTTACCTTTACTGGCTCCATCCCCGCCTCTTTGACCTGTCTGTCTCCTCTCCACATATCTTCTCCTCTATCCATCTTCTATCCGCCTCCCCTTCTCTCCCTATTTATTTCAGAACCCACTTCCCCTTCCCCATTTCTGAAGAAGGGTCTAGGCCCGAAACGTCAGCCTTCCTGCACCTCTGATGCTGCTTGGCCTGCTGTGTTCATCCAGCTCTACACCTTGTTAGCATAATGGTTAGCACTGTTACCTGACAGTGCCAGGGACCCGGATTTGATTCCAGCTTTGGGTGACTTCTGTATGGAGTTTGCATTTTCTTCCCATGTCTGCATGGGTTTCCACTGAGTGCTTTGGCTTTTTTTTCCATGGTCCAAAGATGTGCAGGTCAGATGGATTGGCTGTGTTAAATTGGCCTGTTGTGTCCAGGGAAGTGTAAAATAGGTGGATTAGTCATAGGAAATGTGGGGATAGGGTGGGTCTGGATGGGATGCTCTTCAGAGGATTGGTGCAGATTATATGGGCCAAATGTCCTCTTTCTGCACTAGAAGGGTTCTAAACATCTGTTACGTGGCTACTTCACAACCAAGGAGTTTCTTTGCTCAAACACTTATGGTATGAAGTGTGAAGCCTCTCAATGTTGATCAGATCATGAAAATTCTCAGTCAAATGCAGTGCTGCTACCTCTCACACATCTGCCAGATTTCACACTTAACACATTAAAGGAGCTAAAACACTTAGCAGCTTGTCATTGCTAAAAACGCTTAGCACTTGGGAATGAAGCCTGACTAGGCCAACAAGCCTCCCCAAGTGAGGCAGTTACTGGCTGACATCAGTATGCCTCAACTCAAAAGGTCATCTTTTGTGGTTGTACCCTTGAACATGCAAGCCTTTGGTGAAAAGCTGTCAGATTTGTACGCTGTCCTAGTTTTGATGAAAGGTCAGTGACATGGTAGTATGTGAGCTGCGAAGTTTTTTTTTAGCTCCTTTAATGTGTTAAGTGTAAACTCTAATATATGTGTGAGAGGTAGTACACTGCAGTGCCAGTACTGCTAAATCTTTAGCTTACAGTGCTTACTCACATTCATAAGAGCATAAACCATTGATTAGCCAGTGGTACATAACCTGAGCAAGTGCCACAGATCATTCGTCCTCCTGTAGTGCTGGAGCCAGGTTTCAGTGAGCCATCTGGCTACTGATCTCCTCAGCCTCCTCTGTCCAGGTTGCCTCATCAGTTGAAATGGTCTCTTGCTGCTGTGATTAAGGAAGAGAAATTCCTTCTCTCCTAGATAACTTTCAGGAGAACCTCTACTTTCTGCATGGTTTCTGAACTCTCCAGGAGTGAATGAGGGTGATGAGCAGCAGTTGTTTTATGCTGTTGGATTGGAGAGAATGAGTTGCTGTCTGCATTCTAAATGTTAATCCCCAAGGAAAGTCCCCAAGGGCTTCAGAACTTCCTGACCTTAAATCTGGTTTTTTTTACATGTTTGTACATGTAATGAGCTGAGAAGAACACGATTGTGTGGGAAAAACTTGCCCTGTCTCCAATGAGAGGTCAGTCTGGCTTTTTAGGCTGATCATGCCACTTAGCCTCAGATGAGACAATCCTGCCTATTGTTATTGTGTATCGCTCATAGACTTTATCCCACATTTTATAGTAGCTATGTGGAATGGGACCTGTTGAACTGAGTATCCTCTACTTTACCATACAATGGCGCATGTGAACCCCTTATTTCTATAGAGGTCAATTGTGTGTTGCCTTGACTGGCCCAAAAAAAACTATTGTAATGGTATGTTAAGTTTCTCCTTTGTCCACGGAGACATGGTGCTACATTGATGGAATAACTGCTTTACGTGTATAAAATTATTGAGGTTATTGAGCTTGAGGTATAAATACCTCTGCAATATTGTTTACGCTGTGAATGTACTCACAAATGTAATAATTTTCATGGTATTTGTATAATTAAATGAAAGTGCATTTTTGATTATCTCAGTCAGCTACTTATACCATATCAATTGTAAGATGGTAAGGTGCCACATGATATTGATTTGCAGTGGCCATTTTTATGATACTGTTTGCATATAATGTTTCATGCAACATTACATAAAGTCTTTTATCAGGTAAATTACTTTGGTTTTGATCTGGGGACTGAGTATCTATACCTACTGTATAATGATACCAACTCTTAAACTGTAATGTGTTAGACACAGGTCTTTACGAAGGGAACAAGATTAAAGTGGAATATCTAAGGTTTTGGAGTAGATCTGTAAAGTGGTGTATGCTTGATTGATTATTCAGAAGCCATGTTGTATTCTGATTTGTTTCTCTATGTTATTTAATATTATTCTGTCAAATTTGGCAATAAAATGATAAATAAAGTTTTAAGACTGAAAAATGTGTGTTTAAAAGGTTTAATAGCAGTGGACTCACTTCGCCCCAAGGTGCCATGTAGTGGAGTTCAGTAACAAAAAAGACATGTGTGTCAAAGTCACTAATCCAAAGTTTATTGCTGTCAGTACACTCGGGTGCTTATGATGATTAACCAACCAATCTTGTTTAAAAATGGGTTGACATTCTTTGAGCTTGCAAGTCAATGTCTCAATACTTGGAATAATCCGAGCTGGTCAAGCATCAAGAAGTAGCTTCAGAATGTTGCATGTTTATTTTCAGCAAGTTAAACTTCAGCAATACCCAAGTGTATATTTTGGGAATCCCTAACCCTTGGTTCTGCCAACTTGCAGCTCAACTCTAGAGACTTGGGTCAGCAGGATATGTTCCTACATGGAGAAAGTGTCAGCTGCTTAATGGAACCATTATAGGCAGATGCAAATTTCTTTCTTGCTTGTTTTGGAGTTCTTAAGCAAAGGAAATGAATGGGCTTTCACATGTTAGATATCCGGCTGATCAGAACAAATTAATTTAGTGAAAGTAACTGTTCTACTTAATACTAACTACCTGCTCTTTCAGCTATTGTGTTGCAGCAGTTCCACTGTTACTGTAGTAACAACATAATCACTGCATTGCCTTATTTCTTCTTTTATGACAATGCAACTGTTTACACAAGATCGAAACAACATTAATCAAATTAAAATTACCACACTCCTAGATCCCTGCTAGTTTGCACAAGTGGGCCAGTTTTCTTTTCATCTTCAGATTTTTTTTCAATTCCCTTTCTGAAGACATTAACTGTTCATTATGGCAGCTTCAACATGTGTTTAGGACTATTTAGTACCTTATCCATGTTCAAGTGAGGACTATATCAAAGTCCTAACATATCCCCATCCGAAGCTAATTCTGTACACCAGGTGGTGGATTATAATTTGAATCATAAACCATAACTAAACTTATCAACATTAACTTACAATTCTAGCCCCTCTCTCCACAGTTAAGTGGCTATTCCTATTGAGCCATGGGGAATCATATGTCTGATTTGATCAGGAGGTCACACAGCATCAGAGGAGTAGGAAAGTCAATGTTTCAGGCCAAAACCCTTCGACAGGACTGGGGAGGGGGAAGGGAGCCCAGAACTAAATAGAGGGAGGGGTTGGGGGCTGGGGGAAGAGTAGAAGAGAAGGTGAAGAGCTTGAGGGCAGAGGAGACAACTGAGGGTTTGCAATGGGAGAATGACTCACTGAGCTATCTTTGGGGGGCGAAGGAAAACTTTCTCAAGCTGGGTATCCTTAGAAGAGACTTCGCAGTGTTGGTTTTCAGTGGTATGGAGACAATAAGGACTGCAGGTGCTGGAAGCCAGAGGCTCTTCACCATCTCTTCTACCATTCCCCCAGCCCGCAGCCCCCCCCCCCATTTATTTCTTGGCTCCCCAGTCTTGACAAAGGGTTTCAGCCCGAAACGTTGACTTTCCTGCTCCTTGGATGCTGTCTGACTTGCTGTGCTTTTCCAGCCTCACACCTATAGAGTCTGTTTTGATCACTTCCATTCCCCTTGATCAAATTATTCATGTGAGGTTTTTTATTCCTCAACTACTATACTTTGAATCAGGAATATCTTGAATGCATAAAGTAAAGGATGCCATCCCTTACTCGCCATATATTCTGCCTCCCTCTGTAATATACTTTGTCAAGCTCTGTCAAATAACACACAATGAAAGTGCACCTTGACCGCTGCCTTAATGTGTTTTAAGTTTGAATTCGCCTTTCAGTTCTCACATTTGAAATTCAGTCCAGCTCCTTTGTGATAGGAACAAGAGATGTTTTCCTGCTGTCCTCTTGTCCTGTTACCCTAGTTAAAGCGGTCCGGGGTAATATCGTTCGTTCACAATTGGCAAGTGCTTTAAGTGCATGTTTCACGGCTGCTCCACCCGAGGAAAACCCAGATCCTCCTGCAACTAATGCACCACACTATGAAGCCTTTTAGTGACCCTTGGGCTACACGAAATGAACGGCTGGAGTGGGGAGAAGGGAAAGGGATTGATGACCAATACGAACAGATTGGCTATTACGGGTGTGGTCTTGATTTCAGCGGAAGATGCAGACCGTGGGAGTAGGGGGACTGTCAAGGAGGGGGCGGGGCTGGAGGGTGGAGTCAGAAAGGAGGCGGGGTCAGAGTGGGCAAGGCCGACCAAAGAGGGATGGATTGTTGTGGGCGGAGCCTAGTGTGCACGTGGGGGGCAACCAGAGGCGGGGCGACGAGTAGGCGTGGTCAGAGTGGGGGCGTGGTCAGTGGTGGGTGGGCGGGGTCACGTGGGGGGCGGGGCGCCGTTTGCAGCCGGCGGGCCCACAGCGGCATTTAAAGAGCCCGGACAGCGGGCAGTGCTGGAAAGAAGCGGATTGCGAATGTGGTCGGTGTGCTAGCGAGTTTGCTGCATTCAGTATTTTGTTTTGTCTAATCTACCTCAGAGGAGCAGCCGGAAAGGTTAACTTGTTGCTGTGTTAATATATTAGGGAACGGGGCTAGTCAGACAGGGAACCCTGCAACAACCTGGTTTTGTTTTAATTTTTGGTCAAGTGTTGGCTGATCAGTCGGACGGAGTGAGGGAGCCGCTGCAGCCTGAGCCCCGGGGGCAAGATGCACACCACCCAGAAGGACACCACCTTCACCAAGATCTTCGTCGGCGGGCTGCCCTATCACACCACGGACGCGTCTCTCCGCAAGTACTTCGAGGTGTTCGGCGATATCGAGGAGGCGGTGGTGATCACGGACCGGCAAACCGGCAAATCCCGCGGCTACGGCTTTGTAAGTACCGAGGGATGGCGAAGAGCTCGGGAGTGAACCAGCGACGTTAAACATGAATGAATTACTGATCACTGTTGTGAAGTCCGATGGCTGTTTACTGATGCTGGGATGTGTCCCGGCTTTTCTTCGCCCTCTTTTCCTGTATTTTTCTTGTGTGTCCAGGTGACCATGGCTGACCGGGCGGCGGCGGAGAGGGCATGCAAAGATCCCAACCCCATCATCGACGGCAGGAAAGCCAATGTCAACCTGGCTTACCTCGGGGCCAAACCTCGCATCATGCAGCCGGGTGAGTGTAGGAGCCTGAGTCAGAGTACAACATAACCCCCAACATCACATTACACCCACCGCCTCCCCCACAATCAAAAACAGTCAAAATCCATTCAACAGAAACTTTACAAGAAAGAACGGTTTAGACGAAAGGGTTATGGTGTGAATCTGGACGCTGCGATGTATGTTCACAGTGGCTGGCCAAAACATTTGACCTGTAGTGGGGCACGGTGCCTGCCTGTCAGGTTTTGTTTCTATTTGTAACGTTGTCTCTGGGTTGTCTCTGACAGGTTTCGCTTTCGGAGTGCAGCAGATTCACCCCGCTTTCGTCCCCAGGCCGTATGGGTAAGTACCTTCGGTGTCCTACCGCACTTCATAACCGGCTTCTGCTTTACTTAAAGGCAGATATGTTTCTACTGTTAACGTCTTCCGACCTCACCGAACTGCACCTCAACATTATTCTGTAAAGCAGCAGGACCTGAAAGCGATTCTGTGTCTATTTAACTAACGATAAAAGGGCGACTATAGTTTAACACCCATTGTCAATGATTAACAAACTTTGAGAATAAATATATCTTCCATTACGCTGTGCAATCTCTCAGTGAGTCAAGTTCTGAAAACGATTCTGTTCATCCAACGCACCACCCGGATAAATACTCTTTGGTGCCGTGTAATGGTATTATTTACTTATTTTAACAAATCGACTTTGTGCCCCCTTTTTGGCTTGACTCAATTCTATGTATTTCTTTCTGATCTGACAGGGGTCGTTTACAGTTAAGATAACATGATGATGAGAGAAGCATTTGATGATATGAGGTGGAATAGTTACCGAATGAGCAGATCTTAAACTGTAACCAGTAGACTCAAACACACAAACAAGCTAAAATGGTGATTAACTGTTGCATGTATGTTATTTCTTAGAGTGTAATAGAGCTGCGTGTGCTTTTTACTTTTTAATGAAGTGGTGTTTAGAGCTAAACAAGCAAACTGCGTGCTTTGTAATGAAGAGAGCTATAGTGAGGACTTTTCTGGAATTTTCTTTGTTCAAGAGTGTTAATTTGTTTTGCCATTTGGGAGCAAGGGGTCCCATTTATTTTGCTTTGTTGCTGTAGCCTGATTTCCAGTTTAACAATTCAGTTTCTGGGTTGTAGTGAGTGCTAAATTCTGTGTGATTTTATTTTTTGATTACCAAATCAACCCATCGCCTGCATGTTGCGATGTTTATTTATTTTGGTTTGGTTGTTTTTTAATTTTGTTAACACAAGTGCTATCTTCTGCAAACTTATGGGTACAGTCCTTAATAATTATCCAGAACATCGTAATTCAATGTGACTTTGGAAGACTACATTTCCTTAAAGACATTTCTTGTATTTTGTGACCATCTAATTATAAGCTGGGTACCATATCTGAATGGAAGAGATTATCTAAGCATCAGTACATTTAGCCACTTTCTGAGCTTTATGCTGTAGATTAGTTCACTTTCAAATTTACATTCTAAAATGGTTCATCCAGAATCTTTAAAGCCTATTGCAATTTTGCTCCAATTCTGCCTGTACATTGGCTTTAACTTTACACATCTAAAACAATGGCAAGATATGGGGAGGAACCACACTGTTATAATATTTTTCATAGAATTCCTACAGTATGGAAACAGGCCATTTGACCCATTGAGTCCACACTGACCCTGTAAAGAGCATCCCTGTAACCCTACATATTTTTCCTTTTTATAAATTTATGTTGACTCATAATCCCATTAATTCATTCTATATTGTTTAGAAATTATACAAAAAAAGCAACAACAATCCCCATAGCAAAAGGGTGCCAAATGCGTAGCATAGGTGTGCACACAATTTCAGTCTGCCAATCTGCTTTCTCCTATGAATAAATGATGATCCATAACAATAAACTTCATAAGTAATGGATGAGTCATGGAATATGTAGGTGGAAAAGACCAAGTCATTCTGAGTTCTGAAAAGCAACATCATTATTTCATTGTACTAGGTACTGAAGACCTCATCCAAATTTTATAACTGCTGGCCTAGGTTAACATTTGTGCCCTTTATGTCAACTTACTTTTATATCAATTTTGTTTGCCGCAATTACTTTACTAAAGCACTTGATAAAGAATTATCTAGCATACTTCAAAAAGAACCTATTATTCCACCTAATTACGATTATTTTCAGCATTTGAAGGAAACAAATCCGAAGGGATCATTTTCACTGTCGGTATATTGAGGCATGAAAGTATAGATTACAAATCAGCCACTATTTTAAATCCGTATTCTTATGGATTGCACAAGGAAAGTTGCTTATTTTGCCTTATACAGATATTTCCTCTGTTTAATAGATCCCTTTTAGCAGAAGATTAAAAATAGAGTAGGGAGTCATACTGCAGCCTGTCTTGTCACTCATCCAGTGTGAAATGGCACGGGCTGGGGAGTGTGCTAAGAGTTCCCATGAGTTTAAAAGAGAATGACCCTTGTGAGCTCGAGTTTCACATTCCAGCACCTGTTCAGTTTTCTGGGGATTTTAACCAAAAGCCAAGCCCAGCACTCCACCCCCACCCCCTCCATCCCCCTCCCATAAACACATGTACCCACAAATAGGTTTAAGAGATTCTGAAGGAGATATTTTATATGCCAGTTTTTGAACACAGTAACAGTCATTTTCAAAATTTCTATTCAACTTTAGTTTGTGTATAGGATATAGAAGTATGTGGAAAAAGTCATTCTTGTAAATTTTATTTTCGACATTTGATCAGAGGTTTAAGTATCGAAGGCTGAACATGCAGGTGCAGCTGGATATGTACATGAGGGAGAAGGGAATATGATCATAAATTAACAGGGTAAGAGGAAATAGAGAGCAGAAGGAGGTTTGCGTGGAACATAAACAGTGGTTAGGTTGAATGGCCTGTTTCTGTGCTCTTACTTTTGTGTGTAGACACAGAATTAACCTGTTCTAATCAATATGTCTTAACCTTCCATTAGGTGACATGTAGATGTGGCATAATTTGAAGCAGTACGCTTACATATTTCTCTCAAATTCTGAAATGTTGATGTTATTAACTTTTAAGTATTTAACTTTAGAAAATTTGCTGTAACTGCTGGATTCTAGGGCATTTTTGTATGTATAAGTCACAATAACAAAGTTTAGAAGTCAAATTTAATTGGACAGGGGCCTAATAATAGAATTTTCTTCACATTTCATAGAAATATGCTTCCTAATCGGTTTCAAAGCACTCACTGATATTTGTTTTACAGTTTTACTACATGCTATCTGATAGAATGTTTTGCCATGATAGCCAGTTGAAAATTTAGCTGGGCGGTTGCTTTCATGAATCTTTTCCTTCAATCAATTGCAATTACTGTAAGGTGGAGAAGATGTGGGGGAAATCCATGTTTCTATCTCTCAAGCAATGTACATAATCTTAACACCTTTTTAACTAGCCCCCTTCAATTGGTTCTGGGAGGATGAGTGAGCATCTGCTGCACAGGAAAATGAACAATAAGAATATGTCAAACTGGGAAAGCCTCATAAAGTATATTGTGCGATAGTCGTATGCCATTTGGCCCAATCGTGGTTTACAATCAATGCAAGTCTCATGATTAAGGTCAACATGAAGGCATGGGAGCAAGTGATATAATGAATAGCAAGCCAGCTACAGATCAGAGTAGCAATTAATCACAAGCAAAATAAACTGGAAAAATTCAGCAGGTCAAGAAGCTTATGTGGAGAGAAACAAAGTTAATGTTTCAGGTAGAGATGAGCTGTCATTAGTTTAGGAGGTCAAAAATAGTGTTCCATAGAGATCAGAGCTGGGACCACCATTGTTCATCCTTAACAGACAATTCAGACTTGGGAATTAGAAATTCAGTTTCAAGATATGTGGATGACACCAAGTTGAAGGGCATAGTTAATGCAGAGGAGGACTGTAACATAATAAACATGCGAAATGGATATTTAATTGGCAAATGAATGTCACTATTGATAAGTGTGGGATGGTGCTTTGTAGTAGAAAAAGTAAGGAGGCCATATACTGTTTGGAAAATTATTTTTGACTAGAGGAGCAGAGTGATCTGGGTTAAAGGAATGCAATCACTAAAAGTAATTAAATCAAAGTCACACAACACCAGGTTATAATCCAACAGGTTTATTTAAAATCACAAGCTTTTTGAGTGCTGCTCCTTCATCAACTGAAGTGGAGGGATGTGCTCAGGCACAGAATATAGGCAGATAAAAGTAATTACACTGAAAAGGTATAAAAGCTAACCAAGCACTGGAGTTCCTTTCTAGATGGATAGAATGGTACAGAATATTGGTTAGACCACATTTTGGAGTACTGTGTATAGTTTTAGTCATCATGTTACAGTACGGTTGTAGAAGCACTCTGAAGAATATGCAAAAATAACTAAAATTGGTTAGACCACACTTTAGAGTACGATGAAGAGTTTTGGTTACCATATTGTTATAAGGAGAGTTACATACTGAAGAATATGCAAAAACAAACTAGAATTATACCAGGAACAAAAACAGAAGTTGCTGGAAAAGGTCTGGCAGCGTCTGTGAAGAAAAATCCGTCAATATTTCAGGTCCAGTGACCCTTTCTCAGAACTGAATTATACCAGAACTGAAAGGTTATGCTTTTAAGAAAAGCTTGACTGGCTGGAGCATTTTTCTCATAGACTAAGGGGCAACTTGTTAGAGGTATCTAAGATTGTTTTCACTGTCAGGAAAAGATGTTTCCACTTGCAGGAGAGAACAGAATGAGGGGTCATAAGTATAAGATACTTTAATAAATCCAATAGTGAATACAGGAGGAGTGCCTTTGTCAAGAAAGTAGTTAGAATGTGGATTTTTTTTAACCACAAAGTAGCTATATAACACTCATAGACTATTTGGGCCAAATGCCCAGTTCCCATGCTGTAAATACTAAGCACTCATAGAAAGTACTCAATTCAATTTTGAGCTGCTTGCTGGTGTTCCCATTACATTGTTAGGTGTAGTTTGATGCTGAAGGGAAGATACCAAACAGCTGATCTTCAAGGTCCAGAAAAAATACCAAAATCAACAACTTCAGATGAAATAGTTCAGTTCCGTTATTGCTGCTGAGATTGGGAATTTAGCAATATGCAAAATAAGGTCTTGATTCATTTCAATAAATTGTATATGGGCAGCATTTTTGTTAAACATTCAACTTGCATTTATATAGCACTGGCAAAAAGGCACTTCACAGGAAGGAGTGAGGAAAGATGATGAGGCTGAGTCTGAGGAAGTTTTTAGGACATAGAGAGCTGAATACAAGCTTGAAGCAATATAAATCAGGGATACACAACTTACCAGAACTTGACAGCAGAGAGATCTTGGTTACAGAGCTATGGGGTTTGAGACCTAAGGTGCAGAGATGAGGCTTTTAAAATCAAAGTGTCACAGCACTGAAAACCAATAGTGATGGTGAATGAATGGCTCCAGGCATGTTTTATGGGCAGTAGACTTTTTTGACAAGCTCAAGCCTACAGACGAAGCTAGGTTTTCTCTTCTACCATGTATACTTTTAAATGTAATGTTGTCGTTTTATAAAACCTTGAGTGAAAGGTCTTCAGTGGTCTCTATCATTGTGTCAAGTAGAGGAAATTTTTAATATTGAAGAATTGAAATCGAGGATAGATTCCAATTTGTAAACTTTTTTTAGCATCAGTTTTGTTTTCATGGATAAAGCATATCCACTATTCATTGTGGCCAAGTGAAATGTCAGTCTGGCTGGGAATGAAGGACTTAAGAATGGGGAGATAACTCCTTAAGATCAATTCCATTGATGTCTGTAATATCGTGCATGAAGCAGGTGTCTTCTGTCTTTTAGAAACCCTAAAAATGATGGTATGGTCATCCTAGCTCAGAACAAATACAAAGAAATTTATAACTTATTTGTTACTTAATTGTTCCAATTAAGGACGGTGGGCTGGCCCTCAAGCAGTAGGAGGATGTCATTGGCAGGCAAGTAAGAGTGAGAGTGCTTTAAAATGGAGGTACTTTCTCTCCAACATATTAAATTAAAATTTGGCCTTTATTTGTTTAAAAAAAAATCCATCACTGGGAGCAGAGGAGGAGGGCTGTTAAACAGCTAGTCTGTCCCCTCTGTCAAGAGACCATGAGGCCATAGGGAAAATACTAGTTGGCCTCCTTTTAATACCATTAACAACCTTAATCAGCCAAATCCCAGCGGTGGCTGGAAACGCTGTTGCCTAATGTTTAAGCTCTCTAATCAAACCTCCAGAAAAATGCTCCCTGGACAGAATGGAGCTATCTATTTTTAACACCCATCCTTTTTGTCATCTGGGCATGGACAGGCCTAAAAAATCAAGCTGTACATATTGATTCAATCTCTTCAGATGTGTTATGATGCACCTCTGAGCAGTGGGACTTGAACCTGGGCTTTCTGGCCCAGAAGCAAGGTCATAATCACTGTGCCACTTACGACATGCATATTTAAATAAGTAGCTTCTCCATATGGGCTGCTAAATTGTATCTGTCGTATTAGATATTTTAACCAACCAATGACACACCTCTGGAGCAGATGAGACTTGAGCCTTCTGGCCCAGATCTAGGGAAAGAGTAGGTACCACAAGAGCCCTTTCAGTCCTAAAAATATGATGGTTATCCTTTGTAACGCTAGAATATTATATAAAGATGGGCAGATTTGTTTCTCTAACACCAACAATATGAAAGAACAAAGTTTGAATCCCAGTCTTGATATTTTAATATGAATTAATGAGATGTTGACATTGCTGGCAGGGCCAGCATTTGTTGCCCATCCCTTATTGCCATCGAGAAGGCAATATCTTGTAGCAACTGAGTGGCTTACTGGGCAATTTCAGAAGGCCGTTAAGAGTCATTGCTGTCGATCTGGTGTACAGCATAGACCAGGCCAGACAAGAGCAGCATATTTCCTTCCTTATTAGAGGACCAGACGGATTTTTGAATTTCACAATATGGACAGGTTGAGAGCGAATATTTACTTCCCTCTTCTTCAGATAGTATGCCTAATCTACTAGATGTTGAATGACGACATCAGTGTTCAAACTGGGGGTATAGCACTGCATCACTGCCTAGTAATAAAACTTGTTTTCTTGTTTCATATTTTGTCTAATAAATATCTAATCAAGAAATTTAAACTGCCCAACTGCTGTGGTTGAATTTGTCTCTGTCAATTTTCCACACCTTGGTATTACTAGGCAGTGATGCAGTGCTATACCCCCAGTTTGAACACTGATGTCGTCATTCAATATCTAGTAGATTAGGCATACTATCTGAAGAAGAGGGAAGTAAATATTCGCTCTCAACCTGTCCGTGTTGTGTATACCATTGACACCACTTGAGACAATTTTCAGTCCGAAATTAATTTCCTGTCTTTTTTTGATCAATAATGGTAAAAGGTGGCAGTGAATAGTTTTGAAAAAAATGTTTGTTTGTTTGTTTTCCATCTGATACATACAGGTGTACTTATAAGACATTTTTGTATTGACCTACACTGTGCATACCTTTTAAACTCAGTTTTATTATTCAAGCTGTTTTCTTTACATTGAACAGATTATAAACCATATTTTAACAAGGTGTTATTGTGTGCATATTTCTGTACACTTCACGTTAAGTGGAAGGTTCAAATGTCTGACTTGATGTCTGACTAGATGTTGGACACCGTTCATCAGTCTTTGCTTTTAACTTAGGTACCTGTGAACTATTTAGAACTTCTCGTACTAGTTTCTCAATAGTTGCAATTGTGAACAAGATCAAAGATCAATTAAAATTCAGGGAAATTTTGCTAAACTGGATTGAGGTTGTAGTACTTCAGAGGGCAATAATAATGCCATTGTTATCAGGAATTACTATTACAGAATTAATCAAAAAATTGAATTTTTGGTTATAGTTTTTAATACTCTTGTTATAGTCATGTTATCTCTAAGTTGGAAATGGCATAATAAAACTTTCAGTCAATAATTGATGCACTTAAAATTCCACAGCATTTTTATTCACAAAGTTTTGGATATTCATTTGTTAATCCTGTAGCCAACTTTTTACAGTCTTTCTTTTTCCCTTGGCTTTTTGTATATGGAATATGGAGTGACTTAATTTTGAAGTAAGAATTTCCTAGAATTTGTAAATCAAATGCCATTGTGCTTCTGACAATAACAGCTAAGTGGAATTGGACTCACCAGCCTAGTGATCTCTTAGCATATTCACATTTAGCAAGAAGATGGAAGTGTCATTCAAAAGTTAAACCAGACAGTTTGATTGTTTCACCACCTCCTACGTAACTGCAAGACATTATGACGAAAAGAAATACAATTAGTTGTCACCTAAGGGTACAACATACCATCTAGTATAAGATGGCTTTCTAGTGGTTTTCATCTAACTGCTTGGTGGTCAAGTCTGCAGTTCTTGATGCTTAGTTCACAACAATAACTAATAAGCTGAGAAAGAGATGACATGGTTACCACTGAACTAATATCATCACCTTCTACCAAAATTTACATAGTCACTGTGTTGTAGAGGAACATGCAGATCCACTGGGCACTGATTTAAGAGTGAAATCCCGTAAACTATAGAACAATTCAAAATATTTTAAAATATTTTATATTTTATATACTCCATTTTATCTTAATAAAAATATATAATTTTATTCAGTCTCTCCAGTCAGCTTTATCCCCTCTCGCTGTGACATGTTTTCCTTTCATGCAATCTCTTTGTCTTTTAGTGTCTTTTTTCTTTTGCATGTTATTAGGCGGAACATTGCAAGCCAGACGATGGGGTCCAGGTTTATGTTTTCGTTTTGCTAAAGGACTTCTTCCTGTGACCTTTTCTTAGAATGTAATGCACATGTACTGGACTTCAGTGCTGTGATTTTAATGTCTGTGGGATCTCTGTTGGAGACTCATTGAGTGATGAAGCAGAGCCTTACTAGATTTCACGTGTAGAGTGATCTTGCCGTGTGACCATTTGTTTACCACCATGTGACCTTTGTTTGGTATTTTTAATTTTTTTTTCTTTTCTTTTTGCCTGTGTTTTACTTTAATTAGGTGATGGGGTTGTGGATCTGTGATATGATATTAATGAGTGCCGAGACTGCATAGCAACACATAGGGTTGCCATGATATGTTTACAATTACTACAGGCCAAAATATCAATAGAAACTGCCCTGTAAAATGTCACCGTGAAATACTGTCCAAAAAAATTGTTTAAAGTTTTGAATTTTCAGGAATTAAGACTAAAAACTTGAAGCCCAATGAGACCTGACAGATTGTTTGCAATTTTTTATGTATTATCTCTTTATTTTAACTGTGCAAGAATCATATTGCTTATGATTAACTGCTTTATTTTTTTATAAATGTAAAATTGCAAGTTGTCAGACTTTTTTGATATCCGTTATTATTTAACGCACAAGCGGTTTATCTCACTAATTCAAGTCACACATCATGCTGTACCTAGTTGGCCAATATCTTTTAAAATTTATTGCACATATATAAAGGCCTTTGGGCACTCAATGGTTTTATAGTGGACTAATTAAGACTTCCCGTATTGTGGCAACCCTATATGCACAAATAACAACTAGAATGTTAAAATTTGTGGACAGATCAAGCCTAGAGTTGTCGCGGCTATTTCTTTACTGCTATGTTATTCTTGCTTATCTCTCAGGATCCCCACTCATTATGTCTACCCACAAGCCTTTATGCAACCTGGAGTCGTCATTCCTCATGTGCAACCTGCAGCTGCCGCGACCCCTTACATTGACTACACAGGAACTGCATATGCACAGTATTCTGCAGCCACAGCCGCTGCTGCCGCTGCCGCCTACGAGCAGTATCCATTCGCTGCATCCCCTGCTGCCGCGGCAGCAGCTGCTGGTTATGTCACTGCCGCGGGGTACAGCTACGCAGTGCAGCAGCCTATGCCCAATGCAGCTCCCGGGGCAACTGCTGCCGCAGCCTTCAGCCAGTACCAGCCACAGCAGCTGCAGACTGACCGCCTGCAATAACAGTGGAACTTTTTTAAACATAGAAGTACGCGATATGTTTAGAATCAGGAGAGCAACCATATATTCCAGCACTCCTCAACTAGTTACAACTACAGGACATAAACGGACGTGGGGTGGGAGACAAAGATATACTACTTTATGATTGTGAGGGAAAAATATTTTTGCAGCTTTGATTACTACAAACAATTGTGCGGTATAATGTCATAGCACAAGAAGACGGGATAGCAGAATATGCTTTTTTGTTTACAATCAAGAAATATATTAAAATGCAAGTCCAAAGCCTCAACCAGCCTGCAACATTCATGTATTAACAATGGGACATAATGTAGTATAACTGTTCAAACGATTTCTTCATCAGGGAAAATGCTGCGTTTCTTTCAGCATGTAAGAACTGCAGGAGCTGTATGCAATAACGTGTGATATGCAATAATAATTTAAATAATAAATGAGATGTACTTGTCGAGGAGTCAGTGAGACACTGAAAAATTCAACATTATAGTAATGACTACCATTTCAATTTAAAAGCACTGAATGTCATACTTTTTTTTTAAACTCTGACCTATGCAAAGTATTTGAGATATTTGAAGTCTTTCTTGGGCATCGAACAATCAAAGCACATGACCATGTGGCATGATGGACCAGGCACCAACATTATTTATTTTTTTTAAAATATATTCTTCCCTTCTATGCATGAATAGAAATCTGAGCAAGTGATCTGGATTTAATGGACAGAACAGCTGTGCGGACAATTAATAAGGTAGACATTTCTGGAAATACACATCACTTGTGCATGTTTGATGACTTGTCACATTTTAATCCACTCCCCCATCCCACCCCAACCATCCTGTTTCACTTTCGGGAAACTTTAACTGCTGCTGTCAGCACTTTGGATCTGAAATCAGATCAGTCCCTAACAATAACAGTCTCCTCTCTGTTTTACTGCATCTGTCCATGGTCATTGATTGAAAGCAAAAAGTTTAAAAAAAAGTGAATTTTATTAGTCATTGGTTGAAACTGTGCCTTATAAAATACTGTATTGTAATACTATTTTAAAATTATTTATTGTAAATGTTTTTACAGTATGCACACTAAAGAAGGGGACATAAGTGCGAAACTGTATATGTATTCAGCTCATTGCAATAAATTATTAAGTAGGTATTAGTTTATAATGTTAGACCATATCAATCTTCAAAATGTTGACTCCAGTTTTTATTTAAAATATTTCTGACGCACTATTCAGTGGTATTGTTACCTTGACATTTGTCAGTTTTAGGATATTAAATTAATATTTACTCTTTTTTTTTCATAATGTTACAAGCTGTACATAGAAAGACCTCTGGCTTTAGGCTTTTAGAAATGTCAAACATTTAGATTTATGTTAAAATAGTTAGAACAATTATTCTGCCTGGTAGAAAGCTGTAACTGCTGCGCTGTCGCCTGTTTCTAAATCTCAATTGCTTGCAATCTTAAATGTTTTTATTATATATACTTCAAACAGGTGAATATTCTAAATGTAGATTCTTTTTATACTTGATGAAAAAAAATCTAAGATTTTCTTACAAGGGAAAGACCACCAAGCATTTTGAAAACCTTTTTCATGTTGCTGGACAAGTTTAATTAATCAAGCTATGGTAGCTAGCATTCTACAAAATTTCATTTTTGATGTAAAAGTACTGTTGCTATCATGTTTCTATAACTGTGCAAACTGCTTTATAATATATCAACATTCATCTCTTCTAAATACATTCAAAATAAAAAAAAAAATAAAAAGCTGGATGTCATGGTATTTGTTTTCCTGGTAGTTTTTTATTCCACTTGTTTTTCCATTATCAGTAATCTGTGGATATGTTTAAAAAGTCAAAACCAGTTCACAACAGATAAGAAAACTGGAGTGATAACTTTGATTTTGGATGGTGGACTAACTTAGTTGGTATCGCTTGAACCACTGTCAGGAGTCAATGGAAATTTAAAGAAAAGCTAGATACAAATGGGTACCTGAATTGAAATAATATATTTTACACTGTGAACTGAAGTCTGAAATTTCCCCACAGATGTTTAAGGGTTTCTTTGGCCAAAGGCTCAAAACAGGCACTAAATGGTTGCAGTGCAAATAAGTCTAATCTGTTTGAATCTTCAAATTTAAGAAGACATGAGCGGGAGTAGCTGTTTTATTCACTTGAGCCCTCTCTGTCATTAGCAATCGCAGCTGATCATCTACCTCAATGCCATTTTCACACTTTATGTGCACATTTGTTGATGTCGTTAGTATCCAGCAAACTATCAATCTCTGTCTTGAACATAGTTAATTCCTGAATTTCTACACCCCTCTGGGTAGAGGATTCCAAAGATTAACCATCCTCTGAGTGAAGGAATTTCTCCTGATCTCTGTTCTAAGTGGCTTGTACCTTATTCGGAGGCTGTCTCCTGGTCTGGTCTGGTATCCCCAGCAAACAGAAATATCCTTTCTGTATTCATCTTGTTAATCCTTGTAAAAATTCTAATGCATCACTTCTTATTCTTAACTCTAGATAATGCAGGTCCAGTCTCATCAACGTTTCCTTGTAGGACAGTCCTGCTATCCCACTGCATGGTGTCCTTGACAGGTACATCCTTCCTTCAGCAAGGGACCAGATCTGCATGATACTTCAGGTGCAGTCCCACTGCTGTTTACTATAACAGTGAAGCAAGACATCTTTGCTCCTCACTGAAGTCCTCTTGTTATAAATACCAATATACTATTTGTTTTCAAATTGCTTGCTGTACTCGCATGTTAACTTTCAGTGCCTTAGGGACAATCACAATCAGGTCACTTTAGACAACAATTTGTAATCTCTCACGAGTTTACTTAGCACCTCTGTTTTGTGACACCTCGCTGGGGTAGCACATGGGAAATCAATCCCTGTTATTCCTGGAGTTGTCTCAAAAGTTAAAAGAATTTTAAAATAATGCAAAATTGCTTGAGCTGGCTGTTTTATTAAATGCAAGTAGACAGAAAGCTTGTACTGAACAAGAATGAAAAATAGATTCTAAACAATGAATCAATGACAGCTAACGCCACTAGCTAAAAGGTGGAGGCGATGGCTTAGTGGTATTATTGCTGGGCTGTTAATCCAGATAATGTTCTGGGGACCCAGGTTCAAATCCTACCTTGGCAATTGTGGAATTTGAATTTAATAAATACCTGGAATTAAGAGTCTTAATGATGACTATGAATCTATTGTTGATTGTAGGGGAAAAACCCATCTGGTTCACTAATGTCTCTAGGGAAGGAAACTGTCATCCTGGCCTACATGTGACACCAGACCCACAGCAATGTGATTGACTTTTAGTAGGGATTGGCAATAAATGCTCTGCTAGCCAGCAATGGCCTCATCTCGTGGATGAGTTTTTTAAAAAAGTCTAACCCCCTTATAAACTCCTTACTACTGTTATGATTCACTGGGGTAGCATGTCATAAATCACACCCCAGCATTCCTGATGTTAAGGTTTTATTTAAGGTATCTCAGTACACCAACTTACCTGACTTTCAGATCGTTTGATAGCACAGACTAGGTTTCTGTCCTAAATAAGAACTGTCATTTTTTTATCTGTAAGACAGCCAAACATGTATAAACAACATGTATAAACAATTGGCATTTATTACATCTAACTCAAACTGTACTCCCCTTATAAACACCCCTTAGACACACACATTGGAAAAAAAAAAGAGAAATAGATCATTGGCAGAGGTAGAAAAAACTGGAAAGTCAGTTCACTGGTCTTTGTTTTCCGAGCCTGATGTTGAGATAATCATTCTTTGGCTAGCCAAGCCCCTGGTATTCAATTGTATTTCGCAAGTTTCCACTGATTCATTGTCTCTGATTTATCAATTCAGAATCAGATCTTACAGCAACTGCTGCAGGAAACATAACTGGTTTTCTTCAAGTTTAAACTGATTTTTCTTTTTTAACTGCAGAGACCAGGCAGCTTTTGCTGGGGAAAACAACTGCACTCATTTTTGAATCTTTATCTCTCTGAGTCTGTGTCTCTGTAGTTCCAACCTGATCAGTTAGCCAAGAACCACTCAGCTTTACTTGCAAACAACTCCTTGCTCTTGATTGTCTGTATATTGCAAGAACCTACATCCACACAAACAAGTTCACAATTGATATCAGATTCCTTGCTGTGAAATTATGCAGCCATCCTGGTAAATCCCTGTTTTTCAAAACAGTTCTTTCTCATTACAGTCCACATTTTAAAAATACATAGTCCTTTCACTACACATCCAAACAGACACTAACAAAAAAAAGTGTGTTGGTTAGAGGGAAAGACTGGAAAGACAATTTGATGGTCTGTGTTCACAGGTTCACTGAGCTGATTTTTCTCTTTCACTTGCATGGAGAAAGTATAGGGAGGCTGGTTCATACTTATAAGTTCATTAGCTAAGAACCACAGCCTACAGCAACTGCTGAGGGCACTAAGTTTCTTCAGACTTCTAGTGGTTTTTACTGCAGAGAAAGTAGACAATTACTGCCTTTGCAGAGATCTGATGGCTTCTCCCGAACATTCACAACCCCAAGCAATTGAGCTACCTGGCAGCCAATCTCGTGATTGTTGAAAGGTAGGAGTCATTTTTAATTAGTAACTGGTCTCTAATTCGCAGACCAATCAATTACTTATTGACAGCTAAATCTTTGTTCATACAAAGCTGCCATTGATCACCATGGGATTTTCACTACTGCTTAAACAAGGAGACTTGCTTTTGAAAGTGTAGCAATCCTTCTTTCTTTGGTGTTTAATAGCTTTTCCTATTTCAATCCACAACCAAAAATATAGGAAAATAACAAAAAAAATTACAGTTCTTCCGACCAAAGTAGATAACATTACACTTATCCACATTATATTCCACTTGCTGTGCTCTTGTCCACTTACCCAAACCGTCTGAATCCCCTTGAAGCCTCTCTGCATCCTCCTAACAACTTGTATTCAAACCAAGTTTTGTATTATCTGCAAATGTGGAAATATTACAATTGGCTGTCTCATCTAAAACATTGATATGGATTATGAACAATGGGGACCCCATCACTGAGCCTTGAGGTACCTTAGTCATCTTAGTCAGAATGCCGTCTTGAGAGTAGCTCATTTATTTCTATTCATCTCTATCTGTTAAGCAATTCCCAATCTATGTCAATATATTACACCCTAACTCATAATTTTGTTTACTAACCTGTGTGGGACGTTATGGAAAGCCTTCTGAAAATCCAATTATTCCACATCCATTGGTATTCCCTTATCTATACTGATAATAACAACCAAAAAAACCCACATTAAACATTCCTGATTCTGTGTTGGCTTTGCCCAATCAGATTGCTTTATATCGCCCAATTATCACGAACTTCAAAATAGATTCTAGTATTTATAATACTACTGTCATAAAGCTAACAGGTTTGTAATTGCCCATTTTCTATTTTCCTCACTTCTGAAATACTGGGATTATATTTGCAACCTTCCCATCTGCAGAGGCCAATCTCTCATCAGTAGAATTTTCAAAGATAACCGTCAATGCTTTGACTGTATTTATAGCCACCTCCTAAGACCATGAGATGTAACAGAAAAATTAGTCCATTTGACTCTTCATGTCTACTCTGACATTCGATCATGGCTGATATGGTTCTCAACCTCACTTTCCTGTCTTCTCCCTGTAGCCTTTTCTTCCCTTACTAATCAAGAATCTATCTATCTCGGTCTTAAATATACTCAATGACTTGGCTCCCACACCTTATATGGCAATGAATTCCATAGATTCACCATCTTTTGGCTGAAGAAGTTCTTCTTCATCTCAGTTCTAAAGGATCTTCCTTTCACTCTGAGGCTGTGCCCTCTTTCGACATTCTGGGATGTAGGTTATTGGGCCCAGAGGATTCATCAACTTTTACTCCTATTAATTTCCCCAGTAGTAGTTTTTTTGACTAATAGTAATTTATGTCAGTCCCTCATTCCATTGGGTCACTACTATTTCTTGGAAATTTCTTGTACCTTCTTTAATGAAGACAGACACACCCACAAATTAATTGTTTAATTAAAACAAAAACAGAAAGTGCTAGAGAAACTCAGAGGTCTGGGAGCATATATTGATAAATCTATTGATCCCTGTCTTGAATGTACGCAATGACTGAGCTTTCAAAGCTCTGTGGTTGATGAATTCCACCGAATCACAATCATTTGGGTGAATAAACTTTTCATTCAGTTCTAGTTGATCTCCTTACTCCTCTAGAACTAGAATCATCAACCTGGGAAAACATTCTCCCAACACTTATTCTGTCATGTGATCTTAAAAATCTTTGACCTATATATTTAAATTACCTGCTCTTTAAATCTTTGAAAACACTGCCTGCAGTATTACAAGAAAAAAAAATCCTTGCTACTTCATTCTGCCAGTTGAAATAAGCTTGAAAGTTATCATTATAGGATTAGCGTTGATTGACTAATATCACAACCTATCATTAACAGAGTGTTTGCCCATTAGTTCAGAGTTTGATTGACAGATCCGAGTGTGTATTTGAAACCCCATGGGTCTTTATATCCCCATACGAACTTAGTGCCAACTCAGGCCTCCTAATCCATCATCATTTGCCGTTACACCCTCCCTATTACCCACCAT